GTGAAATGAGTAAGAGAACATCGAGTCGATTACTCTTGTCTATTTGAGTTACCGAAAAGATTTCTGATGTAATGTATATACTTCGTTTTTCCACTGGCACGATCCTCTTAATATTCAGATCCCGGGAGGAGAAAGCGCGGAGAGTGCGACTGAAACGATTCGCGGAGATTTATTTTGAAAGCGGAGAGTGTAGGTAAAAACATACGAACATAGCGCGCGCCGAGGACTACACCCTGTACATACATACACAACAACACGTCGGCGGCGGCGCCGGTGGCGGCGGCGACCGATAATGTTCGCGGATAGGTTAAGGGAAGTGGTTGACCGCCGCATCGTTCTCTGTTTATCCGCGTTAACCAAGTCGTCCGCAGCACCTGACCCGGTCGCGATGAGAAATTCGTAGCGGAGGGTTAAGAGATAACCGAGGTAATCGTCAATCGATGCCACACGGCGATAAGAACGGAGATAAGGCGTGGGATTTAAACGCAGACTTTAAATGGATACACGTTGTGTGTGTGGGTGTGGGTGTGCGATTGTGTTTCATTTCCGCCAAGCTTCGTTGACACGATTACGAAGAGCTGTTTTTTCCCTGTTTTTTTTTTTTTTCTTCCCACGACAAACCAGTCATCGCCGGCTTTACGCGATTGGAATCTGAACGAAATTTGTAGCATATAATAAATCGTTGATATTAAACGAGAATCGTGATAATAATGCATTAAAAATACATATACTTGCTAGTACATATACATACATATGCACACATATATATCTTTATTATTATCTCATCCCGATTTTAAAAAATATTGCATTGTGCGAGTAATGAGTGATGCATGCTTGACGTATAACTTATTGAAACGCAATCTTTAAAACGCACATCTATTTATAGTAATTAACAAAAACATATACTCTATACCTTATGTCTGAGACATTTGTGACAGAATGGCGACATTGCTAGCAGCCAAGCTTGACAGATTGAGATTTATTAAAATAAAAGCCGTGCATTTTCTGAAGTACAGGTGCCGGGTGCCTAGAACGCAGCTGGCAAAATGGGCAAGTTGTTGTCAAAAATCTTTGGCAACAAGGAGATGCGTATTCTTATGTTAGGACTGGATGCTGCAGGAAAAACAAGTATCCTTTTACAACATTCAGAGCTCTTATGTAATTTAAGTAATATACTGTTATAAGAGTTATAAGTGACAATTACAGTTTGTCATGTATATTATATAATTCACTTTATAATGTCTTTCTTATATAAGTCTGTTTCCTTAATTAAAATATACAGCAATATTGTATAAACTTAAACTAGGACAGTCTGTGACAACTATACCAACTGTAGGATTCAATGTAGAAACAGTTACCTATAAGAATGTTAAATTTAATGTATGGGTAAGTCTCAATTTCTTGCTCGTCCTTCATGAGAATGTATGAAGATTAGTAAATTAATTAAAAAATTATTTTTAATCGGTCATTTGTTCTTTTAGTCAAATGAAATGTATTCTTTGTGTTTAGGATGTGGGTGGCCAAGATAAAATACGTCCGTTATGGCGTCATTATTACACAGGGACGCAAGGACTTATTTTTGTAGTAGATTGTGCGGATCGGGATAGAATTGACGAAGCCCGCCAAGAACTCCATCGAATCATAAATGATAGGGAAATGCGTGATGCGATTATCTTAATTTTCGCTAATAAACAAGATCTTCCTGATGGTAAGTAATATTACAGATCCACAATCATATAAATAAGATATCTATATTTTTCACTAGCACATAAAATATATCGTATACGCTATAGATACTTTTGTATAATTTAGCACAATATATAAACTTTTATCTGTACTTGTTCATTTAGCAATGAAACCGCACGAAATACAAGAGAAACTGGGATTAACTAGGATACGAGATAGAAATTGGTACGTTCAGCCATCTTGTGCCACAACGGGAGACGGGCTTTATGAAGGCCTTACGTGGTTAACCAGTAATCATAAATTATGAGCAAATATTTATTTTTCACAAATTAGCTATATATATATATATGGAGAATACACGTTTGCTTTGTATTTTTATTTTAATTTGTCATGTGGAGGCTCTGTCAAGACAAACAACTGACAATGATAGGTTTGACGAGGTCTTTTTCACGAGCAAAGCTATTGTATGTGCAAAAGCGATAAAGAGAAACAATATAAAGACAACTATTAATGGTGTGTTCCAATAATATCGATACTAGGTGAATAGTAATTTATTGTAAACTGAGGTACCAAGGGACGTGACCTTTATTACTAGCTATTTATCCCAATCCTGGAAATAATTATACTGAATAGGATTACATGACACGGGTTTAACATCGCTCTGTATATGTAACATATTTACACAAGTGTTTCACATGCGACACGTAAGTTGTACAAGATAAAAAACAAAAAATTACAAGAAAAAAATCTAGTTATGATATTAAGAGGTTCACGGATTCACAAGGATTAGTATACTGTATAACTTACCTTTGCGGGATCTTATCTAATATCTATGTAATTGTTATTTGAGGGGAGTTGAGTTTCTCAAATGAAGAGCACCTCAGATTTTTAACAGATCACAAGTAGATTTTTGACTTTGCAATATCTTGTTGTCAAAATGCTATCTAACATGTATTATATAATATTCATACATATAATCCATGAATATAATACATGAGTAAATTTGCAGCACTTATATTGAGATTTTATATAGTGCAGTGAGATTATTCCATTAGTAAACATCTGTTGCTATTTGTACTTTTGTGCCGAAAAAATGCTCGTAATTTATTACTTTTTGGTGACATAAGTCTTCCAACTTGATAAATAACATTTTAATTCTTATATTTTTTTCTTTCCGTTTATATCAATCATGCTGGATATAGACGATTTTTTTTTAATGATATTTTATTTGAAAAATGCAAAGATGTGTCTAACGTATCACTGGCGTTCTTATTAACGCACAAGCCGCAGAATATAAGAAACAGTGCAACATGGAGTTATCGGTTTACTGATATTGTGAGCTCAAAAACCAAAAACAAAAAAAAAGAAAAAATGTTACAAAAAAAGCGTAACAATATTGAATCTGCCAATATTTTTTACTATTTAAGTGAGTATCGGATAATAAAGCATATTATAGTATTAGGTCGCAACAATCAGACCATTAAACGGCATTTTACGAATGAGTTAAGTGTTTCTGTGACTGTTTCATTTCTCATAGCATAATCTATAGCATAAGATTAGTAAGAATATACTTCAGATTCGTATTTGATTCATAGAAGTTTACAAGTGTTCAAAGTGTTGGTATAATTATTAAATCAAATTAAGTTTCAATAATAGTGATGAGACATTATAAATTGACATCTTGTTTACACATTCCACGATACATTAGCGAATTAGACTGTTATAGAGAAACGTTTTAATTATATAAATAATCATGGATTTCTTTTCTTGATCAGAGACATAAGCATTTGCATAAAACTTTTTCAGCATCTGTACCATTAATATTAAGTATCTCACTTGAAAAGGATAGGCGCGAAGTTGAAGACATTACCTGTGTAAAAATCATAATCAGGCGAAAGTACTGTTTTCCAGAATGTATTAGCTATATTAATTAGCACTCTATGGCCATGTATTTGTACAATCTCATCTCTCATCTCTGCATTTTTTCACAATATTTCAAATAGCAATGTCATTACGTATTGTGTACTAACTATATAAAAAAATATATATCTATATTCTTTTAAACGCAAGTATGATAAATTGTTACGTTTTACCATTGGCTTTTTAACAGGAGCCGCTTTCTCATTATTAAAAAATGTAATGTTATGATATTAATTGACGAAGTTTTTTGTATATAAATATGTTTGATATATTCCAAGTTGATGTCGAGCGTTTTATGTGGTTTTTTTTCCATGTATCCACATTATAAAAAAAAGGAGTTTTATGAGAACTAAAAAAATCTATTACCTTTCAATGTTGACAAAAAAGAAACGATACACAGAAAAAGATTCGTTTTTCAAATTAATTAAGTTAGAGAAAAAAAAAGAAAAGAAAGGGAAAAGAGAAAGTAAGTGCTATAAATAAATAAATAAATATATATATATATATATATATATATATATATATATATATATACGTATGTATATATATATGTTTGTTAAAAACGAACGAACGATTTTACTTCATAACATCAACAATAAATCAGAAATTGTTTACGAATTATAGAGAATATTTTGCCTCATTAATATCAGTTCAAAGACTGATCATAGCAAGAATTGTACATTAGAGAAAAATTTATGTATGACTAATTCATAAGAATAATTACTATATAATTTTGTTACGATTTTAAATTCATGTTTCTTGATTTCTCAGAGATAAAATAGCGAAAAGAATGATAAAAATAATATTACAAAATCGGATTCTATAAAAGTATATAATCTTCAATCTCAGTTTAGCAAATAGTTTTGTTACAATATTATATTTACATAGGAAAAGAGTTCATAAGCATTTAAAATACAGATGTGTGGCTTCTCTACAAAATTTTTCAACTATTTAATATTATCAATGTCATGTAGAGATCCTAAAATATATTGCCATCGGAAAATACGCTGGAGATCTTTACTCGAGATACAAAAAAAAAACACAATACACTTCTCTTTTATATATATGTACCCGTTTAGTTAAAATATATCCAGAGATTTGCCATTTATATAAAATTAACTACATTTGATAACTATATCTTATCAGGGGCCACAAAGAAATTAGGCTTGTTAAAAAAAAATGCTTCGAAATATAAGAAATATTATTATATAACGTGAATCGACACTATATTACACATATATGGGTCGACGCTATCAGCCAGAGAATTCCTTATGCACCAATCATGAGAATATTTCTAAAAAACGAATTATTCGCTTTTTAGAAAAAAGGAAGGCTCAGCAATAAAGGAATTAATGTTGCTCGGTTATTTTGCATATTTACTATTTATACCTACCATTTAAATAAAGTTTATAGTGTGTACAGTATACATTATATTGTTAATTACATTTTGCCTCTTGAATGTTATATCACAAAACTATTTACACACACACATACACATATACGTACAATTATAAAATTGATCACTTATAAAACAAAATTCAATTAATATACTCTCTTTAGGAATTTTCATTAAATTATCCATACTTTTAAAGATATATATGCATAAAAAAGAACAGATCGTATCCACAGAGAATATCAGGGGCATTAAGATGATTTTGATTAACATAAGAGAATTTGCTGGTGCACCAGAAACTTTTTGGTTTATGATGTATGTATAAGAAATATATAATAAATGCAATATAAATATAATAGCAATTTTTATGAAATCGAGAATCGACGAAGCCAGAAAGTATATGTACTTGTATACTTCATCTGTATAATAAAAATTGCTTTAAATTATATGCATTTTTTGGTGTATATACACACACACACACACACAGGTAGCGAAAGTAGTCAGTTTGATGTCAAATTACATCAAAATGATTACTTTTGCTCTATCTGGGTGTGTATATATATACACACACACACACATATATATATATATACTATGCATTAAGAACACATATTTGTTACTTATGATAATATATAATTCGTAGATATATATACAAAGAGAAGATACTAAAAATATTTTATTGTTTTTTTGATATTTTATAGTATCCTCAAAGTTTGCATAAAAAGAGAGATTGAATCAATCAAATAAATAATTATTAAAGCCTATTTAGTGGAAAGTCATGGTTTTATTACATTCAACAGCCAATATGATTATTTGTGAGTAGAATGAGATATCAATCACATTATCTTCACATTTCATCAAATTCTTCACTTTAGCTTCGAGAATATAAAATATATATTATTAATTAAAAAGAAATTTATAAGATATATAAGATATATACAAGATATGTAAAAAAGAAAAGAAAATGTTACATTATACATTTAATATGTACTCTGCCTTCTTATAAAAATATTGCGAGCTATATAAAATCGAGAATTCTTAAAATCGATGAATATAAAAAAATGTTATCGAGAGATGTAATACTTTCACATAAGAAAAACTGAAATCTTTTCTCTAAAAATGATAACATACAGATCATAAGTAAAAACGTTTTGAGTGTAAGATCAAGTAGTAATATTAAGTTCTTAGTTGTCACGCGATTGCACGTTAATATTCTAGTTTAATTATAAACTAGATTCATATGAGATTCTCGTATAATCTTCGCGTGTTTTCGTATTCGAGACATATTTAATATATTAAAAATAAGCTGAAGTTTTACCATGCACGCATGTTTTAATATTAATTCTCACATGGCTTAATTATATCTAGACTCTAAAATACTATATATATATATGTGTTAAAATATTTATCATATATACATTAGAGTTAATCATTAGTATATTGTAAAAGTCTTTCTTAGAACTGCGAGAGATTCACATATATACATAATACTTCATAAATATATTAAAATATGGCTTGTGTTTGGTTCGTGATCGCGACTCAAAGATCTTAATTCGATGCAATAGTTTAAACACGAGAATATCCGACCATTTTTCATAACATATTTAAAAAATTCGTTTTACTGTACAATTAACAACGAGCGATTATCGTTTCTCTCCCATTTGATAAATATTTTAAATACTACCTATTTCGATATAATCTTGGACAGATTTGTAATAAATAGTTGGATGCTATCTACTGGATCGTTGCTCTTCCGCAAGCGCTATCAATCGCTGTCGAGTTTTTTTATTATTTTGACAAGTCGCCGAAATTAATCCGACTAAATGTTTAACTGAATATTCCTGCAAAACAATTATACAATAATACATAAAAGAGAAAAAATTATTCACGTTAGCATCGCGCATTTATAGTATTACGAATTTCAATACCTTATGTTCCTTAATCCATTCTTCGAAACTATTCTCAGGAAGGTAATACGCTTTAATATACAATTCAACGTACTCCCTGTGCGGCATAGGTCGCAATGATGTCATTTTCTCAAATTTTGACTTTAGCTGCGTGAAATCAAGTTGCATTAGGGCTCTACCGCCATTTGAACACTTTTTAGCATTGGAAAACCTAAAGTGGCAATATTACATTTTCATCAATAGGAATGGATTTTACAATATTACAATATTATATGCAAGTGTGGTTGAAAATACAGTAACAGAAATTCTCCTACCCTTCCACTAAGGTATGTGTGATTAAGTGAGCCACATTTTCCCATACCGCATTACATACATCTACATTTAAAGGAATATACGTTCCGATAACGTTGAGTCTTTCATTCAAGGTACATATTTCCTAAAAAAAAAAAATAATTTTTAATATCACAGTTAATGTTTTTTTGCTTAACAAATATTGATACATACTTGGATTAGTGCATCAATATAATTACTATGTTGAGACATGACATCCGTTACTTCCCAATTGACTTTGTTCATTAAATTTAAGATGTTTGCAACATCAAATGCTTGCGATGCTACCGCCATATAAACTGGCTTTCTCAGATCTGTGGTAGATGCTATTGTTTGCATATAAAACTGATGTAAAAATCCTCTTTGAGGACTATTGACAATGAGATGCTCCAAATACGGCCTCAGGCCTTCGTATTGTTGTCCTAAAAATATTAGAGACTCGACAGCTACGATACGTTCCGTCAATCCGTGAAGTTTCTCGGGCTGCGACAAATTCACGATGGACGAAAGCTGTGGTTGTCTTACTTTATCGCAATTTCCATTACTATTTTCTTCTATTGCATCGTTCTCAGAAATAATCAAACTCTCTCTGATTCGTGTTAAGGATAATTTTAATTTTGGACTGTATAAAGAATCACTGTTGATTTGCTGAAAGAGAGACATATTTTCAAATCACACTGTTTAAAGTTATGCAAGTAATTAGCATAGTTGAAAATTATAAACATAAACTTACAAGATCCGATGTGAAGAATAAATGTACTGTATAAAAGCATAACTCGAAAAACTGTATCATACTTTGTATGACAGTGACCGCGATAGATCGTAAAAGTCTCGACATCTGTAGATACTTGCCGCACACTCTCAGTATGCTTAATGTCGTGTTTGTGACCATTGGTCCAGACTGTTTAAGTTTGCATTTCCTTTTATTAACTCTTACATGATCCGATTCATCGACGTATTCATGCTTCAGCTCATCCGGAATATCATCATCGGACTCATCCGAAAAATACGCAGGTAGATTAACCTAAATGAGAAAAAAAAAGATATGCGGACAATCTATAGTATAGATTATTTTAAAAAGAGAGTATTAAGACATGGTATATATAAAGGACTTTCATACATCATCATTTACTAAAATATCTTCATCCATAGTATCATCCAATCCTATCGTGAATGGTGACGAGCCACCCTCCAAATATTTCTGCAAGTCGATTCCTGAGGAATTGTCACTGTCACTTAAATTCGAGCTATCTAAACTGTTCCACGTTTTGCAATTATTGAGCGAAGGTTTCAAACTACGAAACTCCAATAATTGGGTGGCCATAAAATTAGATTTCACAGGGCACAATTCCCAACCATCATTTTCCAAAAATATTCTTAATTCATCCAAACGAGATGCATGGTAATGAGAAAAGTAAGACAAGGACTGTTTTCTTATAGACTCCTGCAAATTCTCCGATTTGAAACAGAGTTCTTCCCCAATCTCCATCAATCTGCAATTAACACAGGTATTTTGAAAATTTTTTACTTATTGGTAAATGATAAAATTTTATTGTTATCTATTAAGTTTTTACCTACCTATTTACTATACCCAATACCTGAACAAACTGTTCAAATTTGATGTCTGTTAAATCAGCATTTGTCAGATATACAGATATTTTCATTTCCACATCGTGCCATACTCGAACCATACTATTCTCTAATTTCTGCTTGACATATTGTTTGCTGAAAGTTTCCTCTAAATTCTTAATGTCAGATTTATATTCTGGTTTATCTTCTTGCGCATTATGCCAATTCACAACTAGATAATATGAACTTAGTATTGTCCATAATGATTTGCACAACTCTGTGAGGCAAATTATATATTTGTCGCGAGGCACATCCTGACACAATTGTTTATATTGTCTTTTCACGTCGCCTCCCGCGTAAGAGTGAACAACAGCAAACGCGGTGTTATGAATGACAACACTAAAATGCATGTGCAATTGATCTATAGCAGACTGTGTCTTTCCTAATAATGTGTATGCTTCTTGGATAGAGGAATATACAGCGACATCGAATTTAGTACACATTTCAAAGAGCGTACTGTCTAAGGCCCTTTCTGCTTGCTCCAAGATATCTTGCAACTTTCCACTCAATGCATTGATACAGTGGAAATGTTTGTATGTCTGAGCAGCACTTTGACATTCCAAAAGAAGAGATATGGCTCCAGGAAAATTGCCTTCATTTAGAAGTTCCTGTAGACGATCCCCTGTGCGTTGCTAAAAACATAATAATCAAATTTAAGCAAAAAGATTTTTTTGATTTCATTCATTGCGTGATATTAGAATTTATAATTTGACAGAGATCATGTTTTTAAAGTATAAAAAATTTTAATTAACCTACCAGCGTTTTTATAGTGTTCAGATTATTTAATAGTTCTTTGACTACTTGTCGTCTCTGATAATTAGCTAATATGCCTAAACTTGCTGTTGTAAATTGCATTTTGGCTAATTGCAGATCTGTTCTTCCCTTTCTACATATTTCTAGGACATTTTTCAATTGTTCCTGCAGTTGCAGAATTTTATCAAATTCTGCTTTACAAGCACTCTGCTTATCTAAAATAAGCTGTAATACTTTCTTGGAGACAACTTGATGTTGTTGCTTGAGTTTCTTACAACATTTCTCAATTTCCTTGGAATGTAATATTGTTGGCAATTTTTCTAATTCGTAGCGCGATGAATCAAAACTGCCATTAGTATTAAAATAAACATCTTCGATAGACTCTAATATATCTTGATCGGGTACAGATTCACTCTCCGTTGACTGATCAGCCTCGGAACAAAGATCTTCACATTTTTGCAAATCAGGCGGATTAAGCAAATCAGGATTCAAGCCCATAATTGGCACTTTAGTTGTATTCTAAAAAAAGTGACGAATTAATATACATTATGTTATTTCAGCAATAAAAAAATCATTTTTAAGTTGAATTTTATTTTCTCTTTAATGTTTTATCTTCTAATAATTATGAATGCATAATACTAATACAAATTTATTGAAACTGATCAAACATTTTTTTAAATGTATGTACAATCGAATTATATGTATGTTGTATATATATTATGACATAGCCCAGTTTCGAAATATCATGTGTCTCAGAATTATCACTTTATTGGTAATATTTCCTTTAAAAAAAAATCACAAAGCAAAAGAAGCGGCACATGACATTATTCGACAGCGAAACGTCAAAGTCAAATTCGATCGTACATACATTGCGTCACGTAACCTAATCCAACTGCTGAAAAATATAGCGAAGTACGCCATGATATTTGTAAACAAACGGCTTGCCTGTTTATTAACGAGGCCGAAGAATTTAAACTTTAAATCTTCCATGATCTCAGATTGCATTACGATCGTCAAACCAGACCATGAAGGAAGAGTAAGGAGAGTTATCTCGATAAGGTAGAGAGAAAAAAGTTGATTACGAAAAACGTTTTGTATGTGGCCAGGCTGCCGAATGGAATAACCATAGACATAGTATATCTAGACCGAGTGTTGAGGAGTGGGAGCCGAGGTGCACGTAGAAAAGGATATACTCTGTTTCGTGCCCTTAATGCCCAACCAGCCATAAAAGAAAGAAGAAGAAGAATTAGTCGCCCATACACCATTGTTTCTTATGGGTTTGTAGAATATAAGCAAAACTCCTCTAAGAGAGGAGGGAGTCCAAAAAAAGGTCCAGACAAAGGACATACGCAGCACGCAAAAACACGTCCGAACCCGACACGTTGTCAGTCGGAACTTAATCGCGCGAAATGATATATATACTATGTCTATGGGAATAACCATAGACATAGTATATCTAGACCGAGCGTTTGCCTTTATTTAAGGAGTGGGGGTAAAGATACACGTAGAAAAGGACATATTGGCATTCCGATTAGGTTTAACGGAAAAATGTATTTCCTCTCTCATGGCATTCTCGATCATGGAAACTGGATATGGGTGTTTAGTTTCTGGATTTATACATTTGCTAGCAACTGTTGTGGCAATATCTTTGAACATGGAATCTAAAGCTGAATGCCTTTCTTTATCAGAAACTTGGAGCTCACCTTTGGCAAGAATCTGTTGGCATATTTCAGTCTGATTGTCAATGCCAAAAGCTTTTATGAGATCTTCCTTCTTTGCCACCTGACCCTTTGATACATTAGTGAATATTGTATGCGTTTGCAGTACTTCATCAATATCTTTTTCTCTAAAATATATTTCAGAAAGAAATAATAAACAATGCATATCACATTTATTTCTGCATGATAAAAAAGATCTTAGATAATAAAAGATACTCTGGTTAGAGCTGGTAAAAGCAGCTGGTTAGAGATAAGTGATGTGCTATGACTTATTTGAATAGATATTGACTTAATAGACATTAATGGAAAGATATCAGAATGTAAACTAATATAACAGATAAAAAACAGAGAAGATAATGAAATAAGATAGTCTCGCAGATAAAATTGTTAAGATTATAAGTAACACGTGATAATATAAATCTTATGACAATGTGTATTCTTATGTGTACATGTGAGAAGAGAAATTATATAAATGACGTTACATATGTATAGATAGATAGAAATATCTTTATCAGCCGCAATCTATTTATTGATACACAAAGACTTACAATTTATTTCTCCAGGATATTACTTTATTCTTGTAACAGGCAATTTCAAATCGCTTGCCACCTTTCTTCATGCGAACGACAGCAACGTTCGTCAGTCTTATTTGATTCGTCGGTGTAAATATTATCGACATTTTTGCAGTAAATTCTGAAAAATCAACCTGGCATAGCCAACGTATCGGCTATTTCGAACTGTCTAATTGATAATATTCTTGTTTATTTCTATTTAAACTTTGAGATGTTGCAAACACCGTTGCATCAAATTACGCGATGAGTGATTGAGAGACACATGATGAATCTTCGTATGTGGGTTGGCTCCGACCATAGACATAGTATATCTAGACCGAGCGTTTGCCTTTATTTAAGGAGTGGGGGTAAAGATGCACGTAGAAAAGGACATACTCTGTTTCGTGCCCCTTGCGTTCTCTCTCGCTCGCACGTAGCATGACGAAAGAGAGCGCTATGCTATGTGCGAGCGAGAAAGAACGCAAGGGGCACGAAACAGAGTATGTCCTTTTCTACGTGGGCATCGGCCCCCACTCCTCAACACTCGGTCTAGATATACTATGTCTATGGGAATAACTCAGACCATTTCGTCGCCATCTTAAATATTCGTATATATATATAGTGTTAAGGCCGTATTACGATTTGACCAATCAGAGCAAAGCAGCTTGCCGGTTGATTGGTCAATCCGCAACTATCAACCTTAACCCCAACCGCAACCGAGCTCGCAACTCGCAACCCGTAGTGTAAAGGTGCCTTTACATGAGTATGTTTCCATCGAGGGCTCGAATCGGGTCAGAGTCGAGTCAGAGTCTTAACATAAATTAACGGCATAAATTAACAGTTACGGCCTGCATAAATCAGCCTTTAGTTGCAGTTGTGACGTCCCGTCATTTTTCAAAACCATATTTCAACTAATAATTAAGTACCGCATCTATTTCTGCATTATGCCTATGGAATATAGAACAATTATTTAATCATTTGCCCTTATTTTCATTATTAATCAATTTTACTAATTGCTTATTGTTCTAGTAATATGTGGTTATTTAACTGAGAAATTAATTTTAAGAAGAGGCCCGCGATTGAGCTTTAATATAATCAGCAATACTAGCACTTTATCTTTAAGAATACAAAGAATAGGATTAAAATAAATAAAATAAGGAATATGCGCACCACTCTTTATGGAATCGTAAAATGCGCGCAATAATAATTTGTTAAAACATTTTTCTTACATTCCTTGCTAATAATTATCAACTTTCAATATTATACAAAATTTAATTATAACAATAATTTGATAACTTCATGTTGCCCTATAAAAAATAGAGAGCTATCCTTTTCTCACTAACTGAGGTATAGTAAGAAAAGCGCATTATCGAGACGTAACACAGTGTTGCCAACAGAAGGAAATTGTGCTGTGAACATCGTGTTGTGGTTATACGAATACTTATATATTTTTTACAATAATGAATAATTTCTGCATATTACTTTGATACTGTGAAATTAACATTATCGCTCTCGGATCCATAATATTATTTTGTTATAAAAATTTAACCTTAATATGTCAGGATACTGACAGTTGTAGCTGTACTTTGTACAATTGGTATCATCTAATCTTATCGCAACCCTAGTGTAACTCTGCTCAACTCTGATCCGGTGGAAACAGGCAAGCCAACCCAACTCTGACCCTACTCTGACCCAACTTTGATCCGATTCGAACCCTCGGTGGAAACATACTCAGCGATAGGTCTCATACCGATAGTGCGATGTTTTCGCGCATTGTACTCTCCAAC